CTTCTCTTCTGGCCCTTCGAAATAAACACCATATCTGAGCAAGTAACGGATATCATAATGATAATCTTGCGCCATCGTGAAATGGTTCCAACGTTCCTCGAGGGGAAGATCTGCAAGACTACAGTCCGCCAACCCCCAGTCGATGAGAACCGGAAGGTTATCGGGGTATCGCAATATGACGTTGCCTACGTGAATATCATTATGAGTAACCCCATAGCGGCGAAGACGTCGTCCAAGTTCCAAGACATGTTGGGAGACAACCTCGGCCTGTTCAATTGAGATGCTTATACCAGGACGCAATGAAGACATCCGACGACCCTCGATGTATTCAATCAGGAGACCATCTACGCGGCTCAAAGATGGGTGTCCACCGCCATCAATGTCGATGTAGGTGGGCCCAAAGAACCGAGGTACTAGCCCTAGATGTTGAGCCTCAGTAAGACGTCGGTACGCCTCATGCTCCGTATTATGGCACTCGACGCAGGACTCCCATTTCTGCAGGTGGTTCATCCAGGCTGGGCGCTGGGAGAAATCGTTAACATCAAGGGGGTTCTTAGCTCCATCCTTTCCGAAATGGGATCGAACATTGAGTTGGTAGTCACGTTCGCGGTCCACATTCCAGTAATTCCATATGCGACGGTCTGCTAGTTTAAGGATGAGAGGGGAGGGAAGCAATTTGGAAGACCGTGGCTCCACTAAAAGAACAACTGCGTTGGTAAAAGGCTGATATGCTTTCACAATCTGAACTTGGATGGGGGCCTCGTCGCGAGAGGGAGCTGCAATGGTCAATTGCGTGCCAGGTTTATAGCTTTCCGAGAGCGACCTGCGCGACTTGAGATGAGCTTTATGCTGCTAAATGATTTCAATAGTAGATGATGACCTCGCCCAGTAGTCAAAGTTGTTGGACGCGGTGCTGTAGCCACGAAGGAGGTGCGTGTCTGGATGTAGGCGATTGAGCCGCAAAAATACCATGGGCTTGAAACGTCGAAGGATTCTGAGCGTTGGCATGATGCTCTATAGAATTTTTTAGAGTGCTAACACCAATGAAGACGCCAATGAAGCTAAAGCTCTGGATGCATGATGGGTGTCATGATCAATAGTTGTTATTTTATTGATGCCATTCCCGAACCAGATTTGAATTCTCACATTGTAACGAAACCCTCTCGACATATTAGAATCTATCTGGAGGGTCTTTCAGAAGGGAGAAATGACATTCTGAAAGCATATGGGAAGTCACCCATTATTTTGTTCTGATTCTACTTAAAGATGGAATTCACAATCGATACCATATCTCTCTTGTATCTCAGTTGCAGCGATCAGGATGGTCTCAGAGTCCAAACCGTCGTCGCTGTTGTCGCTGCCACCATCGCTGTGGTTGTCGTTGTTATCATCGCTGCCGTTGTCGCTGTTATCGTCGTTGCCATTGTCGCTGTTATCATCGCTGTTATTCGAAGGTTTCGCAGTGGAATAGCCTGCGTATATGTAGCAAGTTATCTTTCGTAGAATGACGTTTTTACACGATTCCTCGTGTTGCAAACGGTCGTTGATTGCGGAAACAGTTTGCTTGAGGCTCGATGTACTAAGGGTAAGGGATTTGACACGGGGCAAAAGTTCACCCACAGCAAAGGAGTCGAAAACTGTCTGCGGACAGATGAGATTGCCGACGTCGACTGTGTGGGCAAAGTCAACGATATTGAATAATGAAAGCAGGGATTCGAGAGGCTCCCAGGAAGTAGGCTCGACAATGTAAAGGTCAATAGAGATGAGCCGGGCATCTGAACGTTTAATCAGGTCGATTGTGAGATCCAGTGGGAAGGTGCCAGGTCCGTCGACGTGGATATCGAGTGAGAGTAAATTTGGGGTGGTGAGGAGCGTAGGAAATAATGCCGAGGACCATTCCCGCTCTTGGTCAGAGGAGATATCAAAGGAGATCTCGAGATCTGTGAGGCATGGCAAGACGATGGCGTTTAACCAAGAGGAAACGTGAGTTTCTGTGCTTGAAGTTATGGAGAATATCAAGTTAGTTAGATGTGGACATTGTCGAAGGACAGAATAGAGATCAGATAATGATATTCTAGGGAGATCAAGGGAACGAAGGACACTCGATGAAGTCAAGTGTTCCATCATTGGGAGTGGGATTTGGTTGCCAAGTGCGAGAGTTTGGAGGAATGGAAGTGTCAGTGGGTGTTCATCGTGATAAGGCATTCGTTGAGATGCCGATTGACCATGAGTAATTCGAAGATGTGTTATGCGAGTAGAAAGACGGAGACGGTCCAAGAGAAGCGATAGCGTGTTGATTGAGTCCATGACAGAGATGTTTAATGATGTCAGCTGATCCCAGAAGAGATTTGCCTCCAGGATGACATCAACCAACTTGGATGGAGACGCAACGGTTAATTCTTGGAGACAGTGAAAATCTGTGGATTTGCTCATGAAAAAGGAGCGCCAGGCTGATTCAACTTCAAGCGAGATGGTAGGAAAAAGTAACGCATCGAGAGTGAGCGAGCGAAGGCGCGACAATGGAATGCCGGAACTTAAGAAGCGTGGAGTTAAAGTCGTTATGTGCAACGTTTGAAGACGAGGAGACGGCCCAAATTGGATGGGCGAGAGAGCCGCAACATCGTTATCGGGATTTATATGGGGCCAGATGGATAAATGTTCTATATTCGCCAATGATCCAGCAGGGAATATGGCAGGGTTGAAATTGATCGACCACGTAAGTTCGTCAATGAGGGGGAGAAGTTGAACAACGGCGCTTGAAGGTATTGGATCGAATGACTTTAGCATACCCGCCAGAGTTGGAACGATATAGAGTGCAATATAGCTACCTGCAGGTAGAAGATCTCTGCCGCGTTCGAGATGTCTAAAGCCTCGCGAATCGAAGTCGTAAATGGGGAAATTGTCTGCGAAGGTTACAATAGTGTACACCCTGATTCGAGTTTTCCAGATACTTCGAATCGACCGTGAAACCTCGCGCCACTTTCTGCATACTTGCCCCATGACCCACGGAGGTTCTATGACTTTTGGGGGTAGTGTGCAGGTGAATTCGCTGGAGCAAAACACGAATATTCGACAAAGGATCTCTGGCGGGATGCCGTCTTGAGCCAAAGAGAGCATGTGCGTTGTAGACAACATGGGCTCGGTACAGTTGTCAAGCACTTGTAGAGTAAACGTCGGGGTCTAGACGAGTCAATTCCCGTAAATTCAGGTGGAAACGGACAAAGAGACGCAAATTGAAAGGAACGAACTCTGCCCATAGGAAATTCCCCATCAAATGCTCAGAGAGATCGATATCAAACCAAGTTGGTGGCATCATCTAAATAAATCAGGCAAAATCAGACCAAAAAGTCGGAGGGCAACAACGCTCAGCACTTTCAGTTCACTAAGTCCGCGTCAATTGATAAGGGGCGAAACCCATGGAAGAGATATTCCACCTAAAGTACTGACTGGCTTGCTGGTGAGGAAGACAGATGGGTTGCACTGCCACATCGCCGCACACCATCTGCCAATCACTACATTTTTGCATCATTTTTGCTCGGCAACGCTAACGATTTGAGCTTGAGGTCCAACTGGAGTCTGGCAACCAGTGAAATCCAAGAAGAGTTTATTTAAGTGCAATTGAGGTATAAGTTGTGAAATGCCGGGATATGCTACATGGACCGTGACTGGGTATCTTGGTTGTGCTACAATCTATCGTACTTTGAGATGATAAAGATAGGAAGTTATGATGATTAGGGGACCTCGACCAGCGGCGTCCAAAGAAATGGAAAGATGAAACTAAGCCGTCACTGTGAAGTTGTCGAGGATTGCCAGATCGTGAACATCAAAGCCTAAGCCCATCGCCATATCCACATTTGCGAAAGACAAATTAGCGCTCTTGGCGCACTCGGTCATCTT